TATCGTCGAATTTGTCTTTTAAAGGCCTATCAAAAACTCGAAAATTTACAGGAGGTCCCATTTAAAAAAATTGAAAAGCGTAACATTTTGCGAAATGTGGCAACATTGCGTTTTTTAAACAAATATTTCAAATTTGAATATAGTCTAAAGAAGAGAAAATATCATGCAAAAAAAAAGTTTCAAAAGTTTATGAGTAACGTAACAATGACTGTTGAAAATTACCACAAATCCTGAAGATAATCGTTAATAAGTTCGAAACGGTGTATCACAGAGACATGTCCAGCATATCGTTGGATTTGTCTTTTAAAGGGCTATGTGGTGTTCCTTTAAAAAAAATTAAATTTTATTTGTCCACCCTGTATATAGTAGGGTGACAACAAAAACAATGCAAAAAAATTGTAGATAATTTTATCAGAAACAACTTTTGTATTTAATTTTTTTTACAGCCCTTATAGATTTCGAGATAAGGTATAGGCAGTGGCGGATCTAACATGAAGCAAACGACGCACTGTGCGTCGGGCCCCCAGAGCTGAGGGGCCCCCACACAACCGAATTCTAAAGACAGATAAAAATGAATAAAAAAAAACTCAAAATAATTTTTAAAAAATGCATGTGTAGCGCCGTACACGTGGTAGAAGTAAAACTTCTTAAAAACCATCACCCCTCTTACAACTTTCAGACTTAGCGTATGAGTCGGGGTAAAGACGAAGGGAAACGCGCATCTGTTGTGTCGTCACAACGGTATCGACGCTATATAATCCTTGGTTTGTGTCAATAGTTCGTCTGCTGTCATTGTCATTGGCTATCTTTCTCCGTCCCCCTACGTTATATATTTTTTCTTCCTCGTGTAACGAAATTTGCCAAAACCTGACGCGTCTTTCAAATCACTTTCCATTCTCGTCCAAATAACAGACCGCCGCTTCAAAAATCGAAAATTAAATTTTGGAAGAGAAGGCAACGTTGTATACCGATACCTCAAAAGAATCCTGCTGGAAAGAGTCTATTCGCGGGGACGTGGAGAGCCCATGAGAGCCCAAGGAGCATCCGCCGTTGCCAAATGTATCGTTATAGGTTAGGTACTTGGATTCCTACGATTACTTTCACAGGCATGGTGGTAGGGACCAGTTGGGTGTTATGTAACGCACGGATTTTGGAGCAAATGGACCCAGATTCGGTTTTCGTTAGAGGCAATACATTTTTTGAAGGCTTTTAATTTTTTCAAAGAATATTAAGAAGGCGGACATGTTAGTTTGGATTACCTTGGATTTGCTTCTTTCGTCTAATGGCGATTTCCATTTGTCAGTCAGTGGGCACTAAGTGTATCCGCATCTTTTTCTAAAAGCATATAACATGTAAGGATAAGGATACATTCTTTTTGCACTGGTTCGACAAATGGAAATCGCTATAAAATGTACCAACATACAAAGACTAGCATTCATGACGAGGATGGGTTAGTTTGGATAAGCTGTTTTTGTTCGAAATACCAACATACAAAAACTAGCACTCATTACGATACATTTTGCAACGGTGTTTCGAGCTCTATCTATAGTACAACTCATTCCGGCTCTCCTTATTGGTTATTCCTGCGAAAAGACTTTACGCGGCTTTTCCAGCTATTGTCTTTCAACCAGACTTCAAAGATAATTAATGGCACTTGTTGGTGGAGTACGGACAATACAGTACGGTGCTTTTTACTGTTTGTTTTTGGTGACTTTGGTGCTTGTGTAATTACTTTTCATATTATCTCATATATGTTCTTAATAAACTTGTTTTTCAAGTAAATCTGTTCTCGTATTTACTTAGCTGTAAAAAACTTCAAAAATATAAATAACTTTCGCACACTTGCGTCACACCCCAACACCGCAAGAAAAATACCTAAAAAAGCCTGACAGGGCCCCAATTTTTTTTTTTGCGTCGGGCCCCAAAGATCGTAGGTCCGCCACTGGGTATAGGCCCCTCTTAAACGGGCCACCCTGTACGACTTATAGAGAAGATGGAAACTGGAACATATCTACAAAATGGTGCCAACCGATAAACAGTTATCTGGCAAAACGGGAATTCCAGGTTAGAATAGGCTCACAACTCTCAACAACAAGAAGAAGTGAGGCAGGGGAACCACAAGGTTCAGTGCAGGGTCCCCTCCTCTCCTCTTCAGTTTGTAAATGAGCGACCTTCCAACCCACTGTCGCACGAAAACAGCGTTATTCATCGCAACACAGCATTCATCAGCAGAAATCTTCAAACGAATATAAACTATAAACGTAATCGAAGAATGGTGCAATGTAAACAGAATTGAGCTTAATGTCACAAAAACCCAAGGCATCCTTTCCAGAAAAGGAGAATGGCCCAAGGACCAATCATCATTATAGGAGTTGAAAGAATTCAATGAAGTGAAAAAGACTCGGTCTAGAAATGGACAAAAAACTAAAATGGAAATCGCACGTCAACTCTGCTAACAGTGGCGTATTCAAGGTGGGGGGGGGGGGGGCGGGAGCCTGCCCCCCCGAACGGTATGCGATATTTTATATTTTTACATGTAATATTTTATAATTACATAATATTATTTTTACACCCTTTTCTGCTCTGCTTCTTCTTTGTGCTGCCCAACGCCAACGCATAATAATTAAACACTATAAAAGATAAGGTCTGTTCTCAGTTCTCACAGAAATCACAAACCAGTCAGAGCGAAATTCATTGGTTGAAACTAAAATTGGTTATTGGCGATTTGCACCAATCAAAAACGCCGTGAATGGTTTGTGATTTCTGTAAGAACATGAGAACAGACCTTATAACACCGTCCAGTCCGCCACCATGTAGGTACGTGCGTTTAAATTACCGCCATTGGCGCCAGCGATTTCCTTTTGATTCACTCTGCACCAGTGGAGCAGCGCACGCGAAACTCGGTGACGCACCTCAGGTCAAATTGACAGTGCCTTAATTCACTACACTGCGCGCGTTTATACCACTTAAATTCAATAGCAAACCTATAGAGTAAAATAAATACCTACCATAAATAAAATACTAATATATTAAACTAAATATGGATATCGAATATCGTTAAAAGGCACAAAAAATTGATCTTGGCAAGAATTTTTTTTGCCTACGGCGGCACCTGTCCTGCGGTGGGCTTTGCAAGAGCAGCTATCATCCTAATATATCCAATCCTAGGAAGAGGAAGTAATATGAGCCTTAACGTCAAGATGCGCATCGTTAAAGCAGTCATCAGGGCTCAACTGGCTTATGCTTCCAACACCAGGGCTAGGACTCTGTAACGGATAGAGATATTTTCTCTATCTTATTCTAATAATTTCGACAAGAGAGAAAACAGTAAGTGCCATAGCGATAGATATCTCTATCTGTTACAGAGTTCCAGCCCTAGGGTTATGTGTGTAAGAACCAGATGAAGAGGTTGAGACAAACCGAGAATAACGTAATCCGGATGGCTCTAATTGCTCCATGGTTCATCAGGAACGCTGACATCCAAAGAGATTTAAGTAGGACTTCACTCCAGAGACAGATAAGTTTTATGCAAGCCTGGCTACCCAATCAATTGAAGAACTTCGAACCCTAACGGCCTATGATCCACTCGAAAAAAGGCAGCGCTTCAGGTTGAAAATCCCGTAACCAGACCAGCAGGGCACTGCAGTCTAACCCCTGCTGCGATGAGGTTTAAGTGGGTATGCCCTTTTCATTGTACGCAGAAGAGAAAGAGCCTCACACTTTCCAATTCAGGCGAGTTAGGTGTGCTTTAGGAGCATTTCTTCAACTTACCAAAAAAAATAGACATGGCATAAACATTAGTCATCTTTGAGCCTTGACCAAAATTAGCCACCAAACAGCGGAAATTAAACGGAAAACTAAGCTAATATGGGCAGGTTTTGGCAAACTTTCATGAATCCTGTGAAGAGCCAAAGGATTTCACTTTACCTGAGAAGCACAAAGCACAATTTTCCACTCACAATGATATACCGGGTGTTTTTCAAAAACCGCTCACCCCTATAACTTTTTTATTTTTCCAAATAAACAAATGAAATTTTGTATGTTCATTTATGACCCGCATGTGCAATATTTGACGTATTCATTTATTTATTATCACTGCCGGTTTGACCGGAAGTGACCGTAACTTTCTTATTTTAAATGAGACGCAGGGTATATTTTCCCTTATTTCAATAGAAAACTACATTACTAGTACAATGACACCTCATTTGTCACTTTTTGACATTTCATCTCCAAATTATTTAAATTTTTACTTTTTAATCTAGAGCGTCATGAATTAGTTAAAATGCTCAATTTTGCTCCAGGGAACTTGGGAAAATTTGTTTTGATTTTATTTTGTATTTTATATCCTCAACAGACTCATTTAAAGATAGTAGAAGCGCATTTTTGGAATTATATAATTTTTTTCAAATGGAAAGGGTATGGCTCATTAGCATATTACGAGAGAGCATTTTCTAACGAACAATTTAGTACCACACAATCGCTAGTTTATTCAAATATTGAAGTAAAATTTTCCAAAAATATTTAGAATGCTAGGAACATTCTTTATTTGAGAGATGAACTAGCGATTGTGTGGTACTGAATTGCTCGTTAGAAAACGCTCTTTTGGAATATTGTAATGAGCCACACCCTTTCCATTTGAAAAAATTGAGATAATTACAAAAATGCACTTCTACTATCTTTAAATGCGTCTGTTGAGGATATAAAATACAAAATAAAATCAGAACAAATTTTCCCAGGTTCCCTGGAGCAAAATTGAGCACTTTAACTACGAAATGAAATATTCTTAGCGAAGTCACTGTGATGTGACGGTTTCAGATTTACAGCGACAATGGAATAAACTTTGGAGGTGCAAGCGAAATACTTCACGACAATAAAATGATACAAAAATCCACTAATCTAGATACCTTATTGACCTCTTCTGGAAGACAATCACATTTCATTCCAGATTCCAGGCAGCTGGAATAAAGAAAAAAGACCATAGCATTGATAATTTCACTTACGTGACTTTTTATCCTCATTTTCTAGAGCCTCCAAAATCGAAACGATATCATCCAAACTTCCCACTGTACTGGCTTTTTCGTCACTTCCCATAGCACTGTCCTTATCTTTAGCTCCCGAAGGGCCACTGAATTCTTCCATTTCATTTATATTATTGAGAAAATCCAAATAATTTGGCTTCTTGACATCTGTCTTTTCAGCACTCTTTGTTATCCAAGACACAATATCTGGAGATTTACTGGAAGTCTCCGATGCATAGTCCTTACCACCTTTGACTTGCGTGGCAACAAATTTGGATTTGGTTTCTGTTGGTTTTTTGAGTTTCGGATTTGCGATTTTCTTTGTAGAAACCGTTTTTGGCTTACTTTTTACGATCTCAGTATTTGTGATATTTTTTTCCGTATCTTTATAAAGTGGCGCTCCAGTTTTTTCTTTTTCGTTTCTCTTCTGTAAGTCCAATTCAAAAAATTTCTCGAATTTTTTATCAGTTTCATCTTTGAATAGTTCATCAATATCTATGTCTGATATATTTGGAAGTTCTTCTCTGGTCCATTTATCCACTATTTTTGTATTGTCAGTAAAGTTGGTACTAGGCGGACTATGTTCAGTCTTGACTTGAATAAGATATTTGTCTGTTTCTGATTCTTTTTTCAATACATCTTTATTTATCCAATAATTATCACCATTTTCTTCTAGATTGGAATATCTGTTGAAACTTAAATCTTCACTTTCTTTAGGAAAATTATTGATATCTTCTTTTTCCTCAGTAGGTTTGGATTTTTCTTTTTCCAGCAATGTATCATATTTAATACCAAAATAGGCTTGTATAGCATCCAAACTTTTGGCATTATCCACCTCTGACTCTGTTATGGGTATTTTTGAATTTGTGCTTTCGGTTTTTTTGATAGGTAATGGTGGTTTGGAAGCTAATCCTGGACGAAGACGTGTTGATTCTGGATTTATTGATTTTTTAGAGGTATCCTGTAAAGTATCATCGGAAGACAATGAACTGCTCTCCTCATAGGTATTTTCTTTTGTCTGATTTGGAAAGTCAGAACTACTTTCGCTATTGCCAACTCGTTTATAAGATCTCCAAGATTTAATTGGTTCAGTAAAGAGGCTTTTGTATAGGTTTGAAGACGGAAGAGCATTATCTAAAAAGTTACACATTAGATTTTGGGACTTACCGAGACATTACCTTACCTTCGATACTTTCCAAACTACTTCCAATGTAACTCTTGGACAAGTATTGACGATTTTTAGGCATGTGGCCAGCCGAGAATGGTCTGCAACTGCTCTTAATGCTTTCTTCTTGCTATTAAATAAATACTATTGTTATTTTTCTAATACATATATGTAGGTATAATTATGATGAATGTAACTTACCCTTATATCTCCAAAATTTAAAGATGGCAAGGCTGAAACTGGTCTTGAAAAGCACTTGCTTAGAAAATCATTAGTCTTGGCACTTGCAGTGTTTAGCTTATTGATTGGTCGTTTTTCTAAGTTGATCTTTTTCATAAAAAAAATGTGGTTAGATAAGTTACATCACAAAATTTATAATTTTCAAGGCGTACAGTCTTCTTTTTACATACTGAACAGGGTGTTACAAATTTGCCAGGGTGTATGGGGTATTCGCGAGTAAGTATGGGGATCTTGGTAAACATAAGAGATACAGGGTCGGTTAAATTGGGACAAAGTCACGCAATAGCCAAAAAGCCGTTTCGGTTCCAAATACTTCCGGAGATATTCGAAAAAAAAAAAAAAACGAAATTTTGCAAAATCTTTTCCATTTTTTCCTGAACCTAATTCAGGAGATACTTGTCACTTCATCGTTGCCACTTTTTCACCTCTACAATATGGCATTATCAAATTTGGAATCCGACGTTTTATCTTTGGGACACCATCATCAACTTTATTTTTTTAAATACAGCTCTGGATTTTTTAAGTTCTTTGTTAGTCACGTCAACTATCATTTGAAGGAGGAAGTATTTTAATGCAGAAGCCCCCAGAGCCACGCTATAAAAAATCTCAGATGGAAAGCGATGTCAAGTGATAAGTACATCATTTAGAAGTTCTTCCGGCTTATTTATAATCAAGATTGAAGTCTCTGCTGTCACCCTCTATAATATAACAGCTTGTGTGTTAAAGTAACTTTACCGAACACTATGCCGTCTACTTTACCGCATAGAGTGCGGTAAAGAGCTACTTTCCACTGGCAAATAAGTGCGGTAAAGTGCAGTAAATAAATTAGCAAATTCATTCGAGTGAAGGAAGGAAGTAGCGTAGGTAATGTGACACTTTCAAAATTTTGAAAATTCAGTACTGTCAACATTATATTCATATACAGGGTGACAATTCGAAAAGTAGCAATTGGGAATGTCTGAGACAAAAAATACTATCAGGAAGATCTCAAATACGTATTGGGGGTAGAAAGGGGAACCAAAATGACGAGCTTTTTGACTAACCCCGCGTCATTCCTTAGGGGGTACTTATGTTGATTTGCACCGCTATAACTTAAGGGATATTTAATCTAAGTGGAGCTTTGAACGTGCATCTTGTAGAAACCAAAGTCACATTCAAATCTCCACTCAGATTAAATATATCTTACGTTACCGTGCAAATAGCCCTGCAAATAGCCCTGCAAATAGCCCTAAGGGCTATTTGCACGGCTATAACTTAGCCACCCAACTGGTGTGTGCAACACAAAGTATATCCTATTCACAATCCGATGTCCACAGGTACAGGTAAATTTATCACCTTTCCCTATCAAATAGCATTGAAAGGTGATAAATTTTACCTGTACCTGTGGACATAGGATTGTGAATGTATAATATTATCCGTTCACAATCCGATGTCCACAGGTAGTTACAGGTAAAATCACCTTCCAATGCTATTTGATAGGGAAAGGTGATAAATTTACTTGCACCTATGGACATCGAATTGTGAACAGGATATAGGTTCGTATCTTAGAGCAGGTAAAGGTAAAGAGGAGTAGTAACATGGAGGTGGAAAATGAAGCCGTTTTTTTCCAGGTATTTTGGCACCAAAAAAATGGCGGCATAGGCAATTCAATGCTTTACCTGTATTTTGGTGCCAAACACCTGCCAAAAACTTGGCTTCACTTTACGCTATGGTCCGAATATAACCAAAGGTTAACCAAAGCAACCCGATCGGTTGACAAATGGTTACTGAAAATTCCGGTTAAAGTCTGTTTTTTTTTAAAGATAATTCCCCAAGTCAAAAATTTAGTAACTATGTTGGCAACACAAGCCTTTTCTACATAAAAAATTTGGAAGCCTTGACAATTTTACATTGTATTGCCAACATAATGTCATTTTGACTTTTATCTTTAAAAAATAAACAGATTTTACTTGGGGAACGCAAATATGAAATAAAAAATAATTGACAGAAATTAGAGATTAAACCAACAGAACTAACACCCGATGGCAGGTAAGTATTTTGACATTTGGTTAACCAGATTTCAGGAAACCGAGGTCCAAAAGTAAGCACCAGAGTAATTTGATTACTTTCGGACCGCGAAATTACAACCCTGGTTATATTCGGACCACAGCCTTAGTTTCATAAGCAGAATGGCGCGTTTCTACTCCTTATGTCCGTAGGACAGCGCTTTACCCATAGAAAAAACAAATAACCCTACTCGGTAAGAGTACCTGATTGATGACATGAAAGTTTGTATAGCGCTGACGTCACAGCTACGGTGGCGTTAATAGTGGCAACCGGAACAAACACTGAAATGGCGGGAATTTTGAAGTTTAAACTTAGTTGATTGCACAAAGAACTTATAGGTACAGTGCGGCCGTAAAGTACGGAATAAATTCGATAATTATTATTCTTCTAAGCAATTTTTTTTAAAATTCTCGAACACGTCAATTTTATTTTTTGTCGAGCATTTTTGAGAAAATAAAATTATTATACAGGGTGGTCAAAAAAAATCTGGACAAGTAGTAACTTAATTTTGTTAAATGGACACCCCTAATTTTTTTTACATTTTCGGATTTCTGTTAAAATTCTAAGTATTTTTCATGAAACATATCCTATACCTAAATTCAATTGTTTCGGAAATAATGACAGTTGACAATTGACTTTTTTGCAACTTTGAGAGGCTGTAAAACCTAAACTTTAATTTTAGAGGAGAACCGATTTTACATTTCTATCTTAGATTTTCGTGAGCTATCATTTGACACCTCGTTTGACACCAACCTTGAATTTAATCCATGATCAAAAATTGCAATTAAATTTAATCTCCAATTGAATTAAAAGTTGGTGTCAAATGATAGCTTATGAAAATCTAAGATAGGAATGTAAAATCGGTTTTTCTCTAAAATTAACCGTTTAGGTTTTACAGCCTCTCAAAATTGCAAAAAAGTCGATTGTCAACTGTCAATATTTCCGAAACAGTTGAATTTAGGTATAGGACATGTTTCATGAAAAATAGGTACTAAGAATTTTATCAGAAATCCGAAAATGTAAAAAAATTTGGGGGTGTCTATTCAAAAAAATTAAGTTACTACCTGTCCAGCTTTTCTGCGACCACCTTGTATATTAATTTTATTTTATAAAAAATGCTCGATAAAAAATAAAATTGACGTGTTCGAGGATTTTAAAAAAAATTGCTTAGAAGAATAGGTAATTATTGAATTTATTCCTTACTTTACGGCCGCACTGTATAGGTTGTTCCACATCTTTTTTTCTCAGATCCGAATGAGAAAAATAATGTGGAACTCCATAAAGTTTTATGCCATTTTTTGATGTAGATTGAAAAAAAAATAGGAAAAATAAACCTAAATTGTACTAGAAAAAAATATAGCTATATATAGCTAGATAGGTCAAATAAAGAGTTAACAAACGCAAAACAAACGTCAAACTCCTGCTGAAAAATCACAAGAAATAAATATTCCAACAATAAACAACAACCATAGGCGGTTCTAGGTGGGGGCTTGGGATCTGGAATTAGCCCTCCCAAATTTCAATTAGTGATGAGTGGCAAAAGTTTGCAGTCCCTAAATAAAAAATATTCAAGCGTTAGGATTAATTAACTACATAATTTCATTAATTTCATTGATTTAATACCTTTATCTAATTATTTCATAAAATTTTATTCAATTATTTCATAAATATCCGAAATCGGGACGTCTGGAAACAGACGCAACCCTAGCCCCCACTGCTAGGGACAGGGTTGCCTCTGTTACCTGTAGGTGTGTGTAGGGTTGCCACCCCTTCCGATTTAGGCGGGAGTCTCCCGCTTTTTTACTAAACCTCCCGCCTCCCGCGCCCCTATACAAAAACTCCCGCTTTTCCCAAAAATAGAAATTACATGAAATATAATTCTGAATTAGGTGCCCTTATTTATTTTTAACTACGAGTGTGCGGTAAAGTGCACTTCACCGCACTTATTTGCAAATGGAAAGTAACACTTTACCGCATAGTGTGCGGTAAAGTGGATTGCAAAGTGTGCGGTAAAGTTAACTTTACCGCATAGTATGCGGTAAACTAGATTTTGGTATTTATGATTAAAAATCCTTTTTTTTTCAGAAAATGGATTTTTGATCATACCTAAATCTAATCTAATTTCATTAATTAATCTGATTCATCAATTAATTTTATTAATGCCTTTGAGATGTAGATGCTCATAGGTAAAATTTTTCACCTAACACATGCGGAAAGTGCCTTTACCGTCCTTAACGGCTTGACCGAACTCCGCTTCGCGTCGTTCGGTCAACTGCCGTTGCGTGCGGTAAAGTATCACTTTCCGCATTTGTTAGGTAAATAACTATTACCATAATTTTAATACTTCAATCTGGCAACCCAAAGCAACTGGGGAGCTTTACGCTTAACGTCGATAGGCGGGCGCACTTTGATAATATTATTTGAATCTTTCTTTATTTCTAATTCCGAACGAAGACAGAACTACTCAAGCTTGAGTGCTTGGGCAGCAAATCTCAACTGAAGGTATCCTACCTTCGCTGTGACGCTGACTGTAGATTGTAAAGGGAGTTTGAGCTTCAAGAATTCTCTACCAAACTCCACTTTATTTAAGCCAGGTTCGGTTGACACGGTCCAAGTATACTTGGAGTCTTGGACGCACGCCTCACTTGGACGACACTTTTATCATATTAACTGTTTATCCAAGTCCAGGATAGGTCCTAACATCTAACATCCAACTAAGTAGGCTGGCTGCCAACTTACTTGGTCCAAGTATAAGTTGTGTAGTCCAGTGCCGACAAAACTTTTCCTCTTGTAATTGGTCTTGAATATAAGAATTTGTTTAAATTGCACCACTGGTTTCAGAGATAATTGACCGTTCCGTTACTTTTCGTACACTCTGTATATGATAAAATGTGACAAAATTAGGGCCTGGCACCTGAAAAAAATTTCCGCCTGCGGCGAAACATTATTTTCCCTCCCATTCACTACCTCCCACTTTTCAATTTTGAAAATCTGGCAACCCTGGGTGTGTGTAATAGGTAGAATGAAACTTTTGTATTTAT